CGTGGTTGTCACAACCAAATAAGAATTGTGACAGCTTACTGGCTGACCTGTCATGTATGTGAGATGTTTGTACGAGGTGAGCGCGCTCGTCGCAGGGTAGACAAAGAAGGGGATAGGTCGCATTTAGTCGTTGGCGGACGCTCAGCGATCCTTTCCATTTTGACCATCGCGAAACACCTGCCACACACAGGCATCTACCTCTAGGTCTGTCGCAAAACTATTCCTCATTCCCGAAATCAGGCCTTGAATATGTTAGCTGCTCCCAGCGAGTCATTGTGCTGTTTCGACCTTTAATGTGTGGTTGCGATAATAAAGGTGCGGCAACGCTGCTAGTTGCCTTGTTCTATTCGTATTCACCATGTGGCTCCTTTTTTCGCATGCATAATCGTTGATTGAATATGACACAACATGACTCGATATTTCGCTGTGGTTTCATATTTCACCTTGTTAGGCCACGGATACGAGAGATCGCTGCGCTAATGGGGTTACGTTGGGCATGTCTTAGTTAATCTCTAATTACCGCTCCAACTCTTTATCCTTCGCAATATTTTCTACCACAAAATTCTTATTTTAAATGAACAGCATCTTGCCAATTATTGGATCTCCTTGATTGGACTGGGAGGAACAGCCAAAAGTTATGCAGGGGTAGCACTAGTTTCTGGTGGAATTTTTAGTTTCAGAAATTTCTTACCCGAATATTTGAGATGGCGAAGTCGTGATTTGATTGTGCAAAATGATTAACACTTCGTTCAGTCCGAATTACGGTTGCACAAAATCCGTGCTACTTCGGGGGTAAATCAAAGTGATAACCCTGCTGTACAATGTTCACGTCTGAAGTTCTGAGAACACTCTCAGGGCAACGTCACCAGTGGCCCGAGACCAGTTTCACGAGATTTGCCGTAATTGTTCGTTCTTGCTTGCATTGCATTGCGATGGTGATGTGAGCTGCACATTTTCACTGTAATCTTTCGATTTTCTGGAACCACTAATCATTCGGTCGTTTTTTGGTGCTCACCTCCATGTCAGCAGTAGCCGCTGCGTGGGATGAAAGATGTTTCCATCGAATGTAATGCTAAACCTGGCGCCCTTGAGTGCGAACTCGAACGGCTACTCTCGTTCCTGCGTGTTCCGGTTTTTCTTGTTATCGACGTTTGACGTGCTTTTGTATTTCATAACAGCGCGCTGAAGACGTAGTTCAATCGATGAAACGCCATTCTCAACCTGGACACTTGTGCACTCGCAGCAATCCTCTTGTGCCGCCTCACTTCTTATGCAATCTAATGTCTTGTGTATGTGTGATGAACAATGCATTCAAACGATTTCCTGCTGTCTTCATGGCGATTAGAAGTAATCAGAAAAGAAAGATGATTGTCAAAAGGCACTTCCGAGTTTGTGGAAGAGTTCGCTTGTACTAGATGTTGCAATTAATGGTTTATATTTGAAAGCATGCGACTGAACCCCGAAGTAAAGCTTTTCCATGTTTCATATATTGTTTGGATTATTTGTTAGTTGAAATAAGTTGAGGTCAGTTTAAGGCAATATTTTCTGTATAAATTGCATTGTTTTAGTATGTTGTTCTGATTCCCCTCAGTCATTGAGAAGTTGCGTATTTTAGCGATTGGATCATATTTTGCTTTAATTGTCAAAAGATGAGTTCGATCATAGTGGGGCTTAGTAACTTTTGGGAATACACCATACACTTTGTGTCGTCGAGGAGCTAGGGCGTGCCAGTTTATTTGGAAACATTTTGCATGTTTTTGCCATCTTGGCACTGTCGGTTGTTCTAAGCCAACTTCCTCTCTTGCTGTTATCTAGTAGTGGAAATTGTCGTCCCCATTTATGAGTACATACGTAAAATAATTTTTTTTGCTCAGGATATTTCTCATTTCATTGAAGTAGCTCAATTGTGCGGGGTAGCATTCACCTCGGCGTA